AGAATCCACTCGTAATTTTCAGAAGCGCAAGCGTAAATTTCAGAAGCAAGCGTAATTTTCAGAAGCGCAAGCGTAAATTTCAGAAGCAAGCGTAATTTTCAGAAGCGAGCGTAATTTTCAGAAGCGCAAGCGTAATTTACGCTTGTGAAACGTACATTTGACGTACGTTTTTACGAGTTATTTTTGACAGCAATCTTACTCCATACTTTTTGACCTATTACATCTCAGAAAGAAATAATAAAATTAATAATAATGGGTGTGCGGACAAATGAAGTGGCACAAGCTTTTAATTGCGATCTGCTCAGAAGAACAGATACAATACGATCAGAACAGCATAACAAGAAATAAAGTATTTTGCATAATACATTATGACAGCTCGGTATTGGAAAATCTTTCAAATATTGTGATGTGATTTTGTTATAATATATATTGGGGTATTTATGTAATAAAAAGAGGAGTTCAACATAAATTTCTCACAAACCTGTCTAGGAGTGATTTAAACAGCAAGGATGAAAATGATTATGATTGTTTTGGAGAATGCATGCAGCACTCAGGCAAAAGCAGAGGAGGCAAACTTTAAATGATTCTAGCTGACTAGCAATGTGACTTGGATGTGCAGAACATGCAATGCTGGTATTAATATCGCACATCGTCCAGTCCTACTACAGCCATTTTTAGAATTTAGTACAAAATACCCTGCCTCGTGTTGTGATGTGCGCCAGTATCATTTTTTGCGGCAGTGGAAAACCAACACCTTGATGTACCATACTTTTGATACATTCTTGAGTTACCAAACGTACAGTAGCTGGTGCAGTGGAAAGCGCCTTTTAGTTGAGCAGTGAATTGGACAGCTTTACAGCTCTGTACATTTCGTAAATGTTGTACGTCCTCTGTTATGCTCTATACTTCTTCAGTTACTTTCAGGTCAATGCAAGGGGGGTGGGGGACTGTGGATCATGCACAGAGCGCCTAGGCCAGTTTGAGCCCGACTGAATGTATACATGGAGTATATCAACTCCCAATCGCATTTCTGGGGTGTCTTAGTCCAACTTCAAGAAATTCAATTTAGTACAATTCCAGGCAGATTAATGTTTACATGTACTTTAAAAGTACATGAGGAAACTGCCTACAGGGAGGAGGTGCAACATCTGGTGGAGTGGTGCACAGAAAACAACTTGATCCTGAACACCAATAAAACAAAAGAAGTAATTGTTGACTTCAGAAAGACAAAGAAGGCTAACCATCCCGCATTGCTCATCAACGATGAGGAGGTTGGAAATGTGAAGAGCATAAAATTTCTAGGAGTCTA